TGTACTGTGTATAACAATAGTAAATAACTTAGCTTCAAACCTGGGTATGGTGGCACACACATGGTGTAATTACAGCACTCAGAAAGCTAAGGCTGGAGGAATGCCACAAGTTTGAGACCAGCCTGAACTACATAATGAATTCAAGGCTAGCCTGCACTACATAGTGAGCTCCTATCCTCCCCCCAACACACAAACAAAAATACCCAAAACAGACCAAAAATAGATATAAAATAGAAATGACAGATACTCAGTAAAACAAGCCCTTCTCACAGAATTTAGGAAGCCTGAATTTCTTTTTGATGAACTCAGTGACACCGAGCGCCATTCAGAGTGGAAAGAGGCTAAGAGCTGTCTGGATATGGCTGGGTGAAATAACCCGCCTTTCACTCTGGTGCCTAGAACAACGTTACAGTTAAGAAAAGGAACTCCAGCAAGTGTGTACTGCCCGTGAGAAAAAGAGGGAAAGGAGAGACAGAGAGCAGGAGGGAGCTATCTCCCTTAGGCCTGCAAGATGGCTCAAGAGTAAGTGTCTGCCACCAAATAACTTGAGTTCAATCCCACATGGTAAATGGACAAACAGAACCAGTTCCTGCAAGCTGTCCTCTGCTCTCCACACATGTGCCTTGGCGACACGCATAAATAAACAAATGTAATCTTAAAAGTAAGAAAATGTCTCTCTCATATCAGCAATTAAGATCCTGGTTCTGACACAGATCATACTGTGCATTCGTGCTTCCTTGGTTTTGGGAATGAAAAATAATGTCCACGAGGTTTTTAAATTAATTTTCTGGGTCCTGTCCCCTCCCGCTTACTTGGCAACACATATAGTAACCCACTTCGGACATGGGGACCAGGCTAGCTCTCGCGATTCAAAGGCACAATGGGCTACACGCCTCTTCTACTCCTTTCAGACCCAGAGTCAATTAGGTGAGGATGCGCACCTAATCCCTCAGCATCATCAAAGGTGATCCCGTCATCCCACTCCAATTTGTCCGCCTCTTCCGCCCTTTCCCGGAAGAGGAGGACTGAGGGAGGGCTCTACAAGGAACTCACAAATGAGAATGTGCAAAGGGTTCCACACTTCCGTGTGTGCGCTGCCGCGGAGGTCCGCTTCCTGCGGAGAGAAGCGAGGGGGTCCTCACTCCCTGCGGAGCCGGGCTACTGAGGTGGAACGTGCTTAAACACACTTCTGCACCCGTGGGTGAGCACTGCGCACGCATCGTTGCGCCAGCGGCTCCGTGGGGACCGCCGGAGTACGCCCGAAACTGGGAAAGGTGCTTCAAGGAACCTGGATGCCTTTATTTCTCTGCTTCCCCTTCACTGTTATTCCTTTCTAGAAGTACAGGCCAAGCTGTCAACCATCTAGTCTGCCCTTAACCTCAGAGCATGGGTCGAAGTAGTTTCATTCAAGGAATACCTAGGGCAACATGTTTTGGGTGTAGACTGCAGTAACATTTACTGAGTCTACCTACTGAATCCTAAAGCGTGTGGGTGTGTGTGGGTGAGAGAGAGGGAGAGAGGAGAGGACAGAAGACAGAAGACAGACTTACTTGCTGGTGATTCTACCCATTGAGGCAGGTTTCCAATCAATATATTTCAAAGCCATTTTCCCTTTTGCGCCTCCATACAAGGTGGAGTGCTTCAATCCCTCTTGTGCCTTTTCCTTTGTCCCCATGGTAATAGTTTTAAACTACTTATGTGGGCTGCAAAGCTTTGGTCAATCATTTACTCTTTTTCATTTCCTGCTCGACTGTTTCCAGTCACTGAAGTGTTTTATTGTTTCGTGGTTTGATCCAGTTCAGTGGACTCTCCCAGGTTGGACATTTGCTTCCTACCAAACTACATCTTCAGCCCAGTCACCGAACTTTTGATTCTGTGTGTTCAATGCTCTCTTTCTACCTCTAGCCAGAAATAGTCTTCCCATATCTGGCTAACTCCTGTTCATCCTTGAATTTCAGCCTGGAAGTCATTTTCTCTAGAACAGTGGTTCTCAACCTTCTTAATGCTGTGACCCTTTAATACAGTTCCTCATGTCATGGTGACCCCCCCATCAGATTATTTCATTGTTACTTCACAACTGTAAATTTGCTACTATTAAGAATCATAATGTAAATTTCTGATATGTGACCCCTCCCAAAGGGTTGTGACCCACAGGTTAAGAACACTGCTCTAGAAAGTCTTGGAGGCTGTATCCACCCACTCCCCTCATACACACACACACACACACACACACACACACTGTGTTCCCAGTAGTCTGCACATACTGTTTAAATTGCCTGGTTACTTGCCTAAATTGTAAACTTCATGAGGGCAGGTGCTGTCTCTAACCTGGTCATGCTTGTTTACTGTCGACATAGTTGCTGGCACACAACTCTCAGTAACCACCTGAATGAGACAGAGAAGAGGCGTTTAGATTCCTTTTAGCTCCTTTACAGCCCATCATAGTAAAGTTTGGACAAAGGTGAAAGTCTCTCTATTGAAGCCTTTTCTCCTTGCTGCATTCTGCGAAAGTCATCTCTATTGAAGCCTTTCCTCATTGCTGCATTCTGCAGGGTGCTGAAGCAAATGCTCTTGGGGAAATAGTCTGGGCATCAATATCCTCACCTCTGGATATTGTTGACTAAGTAGCCTCGTACCCCACAGACTCATTTTGCCTCAGCCTCCATATGCTTTGTGCCACAGCTACACTGAGTTCCCTGTTCCTCCAATGTGTCAACCCTGCATGTACTTGGATTCCCTTCCAAGTGTTTGATGTTGTCTTCTAGAACATCTACTTCTTTTGAGATAGATCAGAAATGGCTTCTTCAAAAAGATAACATTTCATTTAATTTGCTTTCCACTGGCAGACCCCATTGAGCTTAGATACTTTTGTCTTGGTTCTGTTTAAACCATTTTATAGGCTCTCTTTCTCTGCCAGGCTTCATGCTGAGAGGCCCTATGGTAAATCAGGCTCAGACTTTAAAGAGCTTAGTCTGTAAGGGAGACAGGCATATAAGCAGGCCACAAGTGCAGTTTGGACTATACTGTTTATGAGCAGGAAGATTCGTATAATCACACCTGTACTTTAACCTTGTCTTGTGTTCAGATTTAGGTTCCTCAAGATGTCAGCTTCAGTCCCACAAGGCCATAACTGGACCCGACAGCTGAGGAAGGATGATGAGGAAGAAGACCCGCTGGACCAGCTGATCACCCGCTCTGGCTGTGCTGCCTCCCACTTTGCAGTGCAGGAGTGCATGGCCCAGCACCAGGACTGGCGTCAGTGCCAGCCACAAGTGCAGGCATTCAGGGATTGCATGAGCGCACAGCAGGCAAGACGGCGGGAGGAACTGCAGAGGAGGAAAGAGCAAGCGAGTGCTCAACACTGAGACTCTAAACCATCATCCCCACAGGCTGGCCCTGAAGAAATAAGCACCCAGAGAGACCCTGGCAAGAAGAAACAATTTGGGGACGGTCTTTGGGACTAGGGTTGAAAGCCAGACACCATGCGTTTACACACGCCGGTCACCATGGGCTGTTTTGCTCTATGGTCAGATGACACATATTGTTACCTTTACTGTTCCACCATTATTTGTCTTTAAAACAAAGAGTGGGATATAGGCCACTCCCTCCACCCTACCTCTTGAGTCAGTGTGCCAAGTACTTTGTAAGTAAATTAACAACCTAAAGATAAATCAGTTGCCCAATCAGGCCTTCATTTTTCAGTCACAAAATTAACAACAGAAAGTTTTTCTAAGGCACTGTGTTAAGAGTGTGCAATTTGAAGAGTTATGTAACCTTCCTGTTACTTAGCGACTAGTGTGAGAGGCAGAAATAAAGCCACACTCAAACATTGAACTCGATTTCCAACAGTGACATAAGAGTCTTTATCTGTCCTCACTTCTGGGTGTTTTATTTATGGGCTAATAAAGACATATTTTTGTTTTTTAAAGACAGAATCTGTAGTTAAGACTGACCTTGAACTTGCTATCTAGCCAAGGTTCACCTTAAACTCATGATCCTCCTGCCTCCACCCCATTTACTGAAATTAATGGCATGTGCTACCACACCTATCAGGGAAACATTTTCAGCTGTAAGTGCCTGTTATATGCTAGGCTCTGTTGGACTAGCAGATTCAGAGTCTGCCCCTAGCCTAACCAACACACAAAGCTTGCCTGACATTTTGGAAGTATGTTTAACATTAAAATACAGACTTTGACCTTTGGAAAGATGGAGCCACTATCAACATAGAGCTTATGTTCCTACTTGACAACAGTTTGACAGAGCTGATAATGCCTCCTCTGGGGTGCTATGTCCTGTTTATAACATCAAAAGTTGCTTCTCATTTTTATTCAGTGAAATCATCAAATCTATTTCAGCATGTTCCTGGAAGTCCTTTGGGAATGGGAAGGGGGTTAGAAAGTGACACTGCCATAGAAGCTGGGGTGCTTTTTTCTTTTCTTTTCTTTTCTTTTTTAAATCATTATTAACAAATATTTCTCAGGCATCTATATGTTAGCAGTCCAAGTCTGAAGTATGGTAGACCCTAAAACCTACTTAGAGCTGTGTGTGCCGAAGTTTTGGGGAAGAGGGAAAGAAAGTAGAGAAGGCATGAAATGTTTAGAGGACAGTGAAGTAAAACTTGAAGCTGAAGACCAAGCGAGTAGATAGAGCTGCAACTCTGCCGTCCACTCCTGCTTAGAGCTGGGAGTCAGCAGTGGGTAAGTAGTGTGACTTGAAGTGTCAGCACTAATCCCAAAGGTGGGCATGGTATGGTGGCGCATGCCCTTAATCCCAGGACTCGAGGCAGAGGCAGTCAGACCTCTCTGTGTGAGTTCAAGGAGTTCCAGGCCAGCTATGGCTACCTAGTGAGATCTGTGTACAAAAACTGAAAAGGGAGTCAGTTAAGTGGGACTTTTAAAAATGAAGTGCACATTACTTATTTGTAACGTAGGAAGAATGACCATCTGGAGCAAATGAAAAGTACATGAAAGCCAGTAAAATAAATAAATAAATAAATAAATAAATAAATAAATAGAAAGTGAACACTGGCTGGGCATGGAGGCCCATTCCTACCTATATCCCAGCATTTAGGAGACTGAGGTAGGAGGATCACCCGTAAGTTTGAAACCAGCCTGGGCTACATAATAAGTTTCAGGCTAGCCTCATCTGTAAAATGAGATTATTAAAAAAAGAAGAACTAATACACTTGAAATCATAGGAAAATACAAATAGGTACTATGTTACAATAAAAAGAAAAAAAGACAACACAAGCTTTAAATACAAAATGTTAGCTGGTCATGCTGGCAAGTGAAGTGGCCTGTATTAGTGGAGATGGGAACAGACAGTTTTTTGTAAGTGATGAGATCACAAAGTTTTTGGAGGACAATTTGGTGGGCTCTATAAACAATTTAAATATACAAAGCATGATGACACATGCCTGTAATTGCAGCACTCAGCCTGAAACAGGAGGATTGGTGCCAAGCTGGGCTACACTGAGTTCCAGGACAGACAGAGCTACCATGTGAGAAAAATCTTTGGAAAAATTAAATATAAAAAAACGTAAAGTATATGAATCCATTCTGTAAGAGAGCCTCCACTGAATACATGTCCTAAGACGCATGTGCTCATGCGTCCTGCAGCACAGTCACAGTAAATTCCCCTCAGTAAGAACTGTGGTTGTTATGTATCCAGATCTGTAATGGGAATGTATCTACATGACTTACAGTGGGGCTATGTCCCAATAAACTCCACCGCAAGTGGAAACGCATTTAGGTAGCTGCTGTGTCATGAAGGAAGAGGAGGATGCCCTGAGCGAGGGAGAACGGAGGGAGGATGAGAGAGTAGAAAGAAGGGGATAAAATTGCAGCACAGTATACATTTAGGTAGCTGCTGTGTCATGAGGGAAGAGGAGGATGCCCTGAGTGAGGGAGAACAGAGGGAGGATGAGAGAGTAGAAAGAAGGGGATAAAATTGCAGCACAGTATAGGTGTGTGTGGAAATATTTTGATGAAACCCATTATTCTACAATTACACTGAGCATTGACAGTTTATGTTGGATATTATGTGGAGAAAGGGAAACACTCCTCCACTGCTAGTGGGAGTGCAAACTCTTACAGCCACATTGGAATCAGTATGGTGGTTCCTCAGGAAAACGGGAATCAGTCTACCACAAGATCCAGCAATTCCAAAAGGACATACAATAAGGACATCTGTTCAACTATATTCATAGCAGCATTATTTGTAATAGCCAGAACCTGGATGCAACCTAGATGCCCCTCAACTGAAGAATGGATGGATAGTGAAAATGTGGTAAATTTACACAATGGAATACTACTCAGCAGAAAAAAACAATGGAATCTTGAAATCCATAGGCAAATGGATAGAACTAGAAGAAACCATCCTGAGTGAGGTAACCCAATCACAAAAAGACAAACATGGTATGTACTCACTCATATATGGATTATAGACAAAGAGCAAAGGATTACCAGCCTACAATTCACACCGCCAGAGAAGCTAGGAAACAAGGAGGACCCCAAGAGAGACATACATTGTCCTCTGGAGAAGGGGAAAGGGCCAAAATCTCCTGAGCAAATTGGGAGCATGGGGAGGGGAGAGGGAGTTAGGAGAAAGAGAAGGGGAGAAGAGGACATGAGGGAGCAGGACGATTGAGTTGGGGGAAGAATAGAGGAAGGCAAGGAACAGGATACCATAATAGAGGAAGCCATTATAGGTTTACAGAGAAATCTGGCACTAGGGAAATGTCCAGAGATCTACAAGGTTGACCCCAACTAACAATCTAAGCAATAGTGGAGAGGCTACCTTAAACAACCTTCCCCAACAATGAGATTGATGACTACCTTATATTCCATCCTAAAGCCTAATGGAAGCAGAAGCAGACAACCACAGCTAAACACCGAGCTGAACTCCCAGAATCCAGTTACAGAGATGGAGGAATGATGAGCAAAGGCTTCAAGACCAGGCTGGAGAAACCCACAGAAACAGTTGACCTGAACAAGGGGTTGCTCATGGACCCCAGAATGATAGCTGGGAAACCAGCATAGGACCGACCCAGACCTCCTGAATGTGGGTGTCAGTTAGGAGGCCTGGGCAATCTATGGGGCCTCTGGCAGTGGGTCAGAATTTATCCCTAGTATACGAATGGACTCCACATAGAGGGATGGACTCCACATAGAGGGATGCTTGCTGAGCCTAGACACACCCGGGGGGGGGGGGGGCTAGGCCCTCCTCCAAATGATATGACAGACTTTGAAGATCCCCATGGAAGACCTCACCCTTCCTGGGGAGCAGAAAGGGTATAGGATAGGTAGGGTGTTAGTGGGGGAGCAGGGGAGGAGGGGAGGGAGAGGAAACTGGGATTGACATGTAAAACAAGATTGTGGTAATTTAAATAAAAAAGGGAAAATGATAGAAGATAACACTCTAATCACAGAGAAAACAAAGGTCAGATTGAGGAAGAACTCCACACCTAGTTTTCGTTAAAGTATAGGCTGTTCTCCGCTGTGTGTTCTTGAGTAAGTACCCAGTGTCCAATACAGTGCTTAACATAGCAAATAACCACATCAACTTTGAAAATATTACTTTTGTCAGTCCTTTACAAAAGGAAACTAGTCATGAGAGCCACTCTTGGTGATCTGGACTGATGTTTTTCCTCAGTCTTTTAGCTCTGCTTTCCACAGCTGAGTTGGACTTAAAGGTGGTCCACATCTGTCCCTGTAAGATCTACACCTGCCTGTAGCAGCTTTGGGTCATCCCTGTAGAGAGGCGTGGTGCCAGGCATGAACAGAGACTGTATGTAATAAGAACTCGAAGCTGCTTTTGCTAAAAAGCATTGATTCATCACTTGAACCTTAAGGTAACTAAAAGGATGTGAAAGCCTGACATCTCTGCTTCCATTTTGTATCTGTGTCTTTTGGGTTCTACTCCTGAGTGACCACATCAGTGTGAGAACCATTTATATATCTACCTAACTACCTCATCCCCTTCAAGGCTGAAGGCAGAGGGATATTCATTGTCTTAAACCTGCCACCAAATCTAGTCCCTTTGGGTTCTAGGATCAGCATAGCCTGGCAGGACAGGGCATTCCCCTTACCTGGTTGAATAATTTCTACAATGATGAGATTGCACCCAGATGGTTAATTTTAGTTATTAGAGCTAGTTAGAGCCGGGCATTGGTGGTGCATGCTTTTAATCCCAGCACTCGGGAGGCAGAGGCAGG